TTATTAAAAGAGTTCCTGTTAGTGTTATCTGTTTAAAACAGGTCTAGAAAGAAGGTGGCAAACAGACCCAGCCTATTTTTAGCAGAGGGCTCCAAACAGTAGCGGTGGAAAGCAGCACCAGTGATACTGAACAGGGATGGTGCTGAAATCGGCCCAAAGTAGTTGTCTTCAAACTTGTGTATGCATGAGAATCACCTGGGGAGGGGGATTGTTAAAGCTCAGATTGCCAGCAATTCTCCCCCTACCCTGATTTCTGATTCAAGAGCCTTGGGGGAAGCCTGGAATGTGCATTTTTAATGAGTTCCCAGTGATGCTGATACTTGAGACCAATTATTCTAGAGACAGCAAGGCCCCTACTGGATGTGACGCCCCTCATTTCCCTGTGCTGGTGGTCCCATAGGACCTATCACTCTGGGAACACCATTCTTGGCTGTGAGCGTTCCTTCAAAGTGAACGTAGCTCTGAGGAGCAGGAGGCAGGTTCAACAAGCACATCCTTAAGAACATAAAAAGTTGAAGAGAGAGAAGAGAGGCAAACGTGTGCAGTGCTAAGCTGGGGCCCTCACAATGGGAACTGGCTTCTTTCCTGGGGAATAAGTAATTTCAATTCAGCAGTAGATGCCAACTCAGCTAGGTCCTCCCTCTAAGACTCTTGTTTCTGTACTATCAAGTGGCTCAAGCTCTCTGAGAGAGGGCAAGAAAATGATTGAGATCCACCCTTGGCAGCAAAAGGGAAAGTTGCCCTGGGATAATTTCTGGGTCTAGAATTCAGCTTTCTGTGCCGAGTGGCAGGTAGAGCAATGGGAGGGTGGTGATGTTTGTCGCAAGAGGCCCATTCCCCCACCCCCTCCTTGTTTCTTCTAGAAGGTCTGGGTGCTGTGTTCCCAACTTTTTCTGAGCTAAGAAGGGTCAAGAAAAGATAACAAAGAGCGCAGAAGGCTTCTCCTGGCAGGTCCTCACCAGCAGGGCCTGTGTCTGACAGACAGATGGGTCAGAGAAGCCCGTTCTTGGGAAGCATGATTGCTTCATAGCTCTTGTAGAATTCCCATGTTCGTTTCTTATTAGAATGCATTCTGTGTTAATAGGATCTTCACAAAGGACCTGCTCATCTCAGGTGTGCTTAGGAGAACAAGAGGAAGGAGTTTTAATCCACATTTGGGTGAAGGTGTTAATGAGAGGTGAAGCCAGCTGGACTTCCTGGGTCAAGTGGGGACTTGGAGAACTTTCCTGTCTTAGAAGAGGATTGTAAAGTGCACCAAAAGCACTCTATAGCTAGGATTGTAAAACGCACCAATCAGCACTCCATAGCTAGCTGGAGGTTTGTAAAATGCACCAATCAGTGCTCTGTAAAAATGCACCAGTCAGCACTCTGTGGCTAGCTAGAAGTTTGTAAAATGGACCAATCAGCACCCTGTAAAGTGGACCAATCAGCAGGACACGGGCTGGGGGTGACATCCACAGCTGGGACTAGTGTCTTCTGCATCTAGGCAGGGGCAGCGAGTACTGAGGCCTGGAGCAGGTAGTGACTCCTTGATCCGATTTTGAGGGCGTTCTCACTGTATGCTTTCTACAGATGTGACACAGTATGGACAAATATAAGGGAATAAAAGCTGGCCACCCCCCAGCCAGCAGCAACAACCTGCTTGGGCCCCCTTCCATGCTGTGGAGGCTTTATTCTTTCCCTCTTGACAGTAAATATTGCTGCTGCCAGAGAGGGGTGAAACAATAATGATGGCAGTGATAGAGAAGAGTGGAGTGTGCTTGGTGACTCCTTTCCACACAGGGAGCTGTTTCCAGAGCACTTCTCTTCTGGGAGGCCTGTGAATTTTGTTGTTAAAAAGGAAACCTAGGCCGGACGCGGTGGCTCATACCTGTAATCCCAGCACTTTGGGAGGCTGAGGCGGGTGGATCACCTCAGGTCAGGAGTTCGAGATCAGCGTGGCCTACATGGGGAAACCCTGTCTCTACTAAAAATATAAAAATTAGCCAGGTGTGGTGGTGCATGCCTGTAGCTCTGCCTACTTAGGAGGCTAAGGCAGGAGAATCGCTTGAACCTGGGAAGCGGAGGTTGCAGTGAGCCAAAATTGCACCACTGCACTCCAGCCTGGATGACAGAGTGAGACTCTGTCTCAAAAAAAAAAGAAAAAAAAAAAGAGGAAACCACCTATTCCCTCAGAAAAGGATAGAGACACCGTTCTTACCCATTAACAGCGTATAATTTTATTGTGATGATTAATATTGGAATTACTAGCTTTGATTAACTGAGCCACTTCTGTGTGGTAGGACACGTACTTTATAGATGCCATCTTATTAAAGCCTGGCAATGCTGGAAAGTAAGTGGTGTCATCTGCACTTTAAAGATGAGGCGATGGACCATGTTCATAGTCACACTGTGGATCACTGGGAAAGCTGGGATTGCAACATGTATCTGTCTAATCAGTGGAGTTCATTCTCGCTATTTGCCAGCCATGGGGATCCAGTGGTGAGCCCAGTAAGCTGTGGCTCTTGACCTCATGGGGCTTCCAGGCAGCAGGTAGGGGGTTAGTGGAAAAATATCAGTTGGATTAATCAAGTCAAGCAGTGACTGAAAATTATTTTCATCAGAGGGTATGACATACATTTTTTTTTTTTTTTTTGAGATAGTCTTACTCTGTCACCCAGGCTGGAGTACAGTGGGGCAATCTCAGCTCACTGCAACCTCTGCCTCCCAGGTTCAAGCGATTCTGCTGCCTCAGCCTCCTAACTGGGATTACAGGTGTGCGCCACCACGCCCAGCTAAATATTCTGTATTTTTAGTAGAGACGGAGTTTCACCATGTTGGCCAGGCTGGACTCGAACTCCTGACCTCAAGTGATCCTCCTGTCTCAGCCTCCCAAAGTGCTGGGATTACAGGCATGAGCCACCACACCCAGCTCACATACCTTATTTTTAATCTTCTTTTATATCCAATTTTCAGTTACTCTTAAAAATACAAACAGATGTAATTGGTGTTTAGTCAATACTCAATGTATTTTAATAAACAACAATTTTTAATCGGAGGAAAAAAAACACACACACACACACCTGTAATGCCATGTGGAACTACACCTTGCTGTGCAGTGATCCTGCCAGATGAACCCTGGCATAAAGTTAATGCTGCCTTAGGCACCACTGCCACCTGGTGTCAGGCACCAGAATTGCAGGCTTGGCAGCAGCCATAGTGGCCTGGGCTGGTGGGGAAGCAGGGGGCGGGCAGGACCCATTTTCACTAGGAGAAGGCAGATTTCCTGTCCTAGCCACCTAAACCCTCCAGGCACTGTTGAGTATGTTTCAATAGATGCCTGCTTATTTGTCATTTGGTGACAGCTAGATCTGTATCAGCTTTCTTTTATCTGTATGTCGTAAATGATTATTGTGTTCAGGACCTTTAAACTGTTTTGTTATAATCAAATTAACGTTTGAAGTTTCTGATGATAAAGTGACATAAATATAGGTGAATACTTGAGGGTAAACTCTAGACTACACTTACGCCAATAATAGTTCTCTTTAGTTGCACATCTTCATAAAAAGACCCCCCATACTTTGACCCCAGCTACTTCTCAGCCTAGCCCTCTACATGCTTAAGCATATGCCAGTAACTCACAGTTTCCGAAACTTTCCACTCTTCCTTGTCTGCCTGCCGCCTTTGTCTGTGCTGTTCCCTCTGCCTGGAACTACTTTCCTCCACCTTTCTCTTCCGAATTTATTCTTTAAATGTCAAATCAAGGTCGACAATTTGTAGGAAAATTCCATAAAGTAAATTCAGAAACAACAGTGTTGTATGTTGTATTGCAGTGTCTCTAGAGAAATGGAAGATGTGGTTCTGAACCCATTTTTATCTCTTTCATAGATTTGGCCATGGTCAGTTGCTGACTTGTTCTATCTCAGTGGTTTCATCCATTAAGTGGAAATAATAATGTCCTTTGCCCCCAGCATTGAAATATACATATATATATATATCTCATATATATATCTCAACTGACAGCTGCAAAGATGTGGATATAGATAGATAGATATGCCCCTAATTTGAGGTTTATATATATACACACATATAACATGTATATTATATATTATATATATTTAATGCATAGGGGTTTGATATACATAATATTAAATATATAATATATAGG